GAAGAAAGTGTTATGTTTTTAGAAGACTAGGAACGTGACAAAATTGTTGAGGCGATGGTAACAGACTACCGATCAGGTATTCTCACCTTTCCACTTACAGGTGGGCAAATCTTCGAAATGCGGCCGACATCAAGAAGGCAAAACTAGATAAAGCCTCAGACTCCAACAATTTCCATGCTGGTGTCCACGAAACCAAGGTAAGGTATCTGAATTTTGAAGTCGTTTCTGAAACAAAGAAAGAAACGGATAAAGAATTCCGTAAGGATCCAAACTCGAACCACCTACTTCTGTTTGAATCCTCTCCCTACTCAGCTAGTACACTTACAAGTGAGCCAGACAATTACTAGGTTCACAGGTCACAAGCTTTTTGTAAACTGCTTGGAAAAGTAATATCAGTAGTGTGATTGGAACCACAGCTCCTTAGACCTTTGTATATTGAGCACATTCTAGTAAAATGTGGTGATGTTGTATTGTGTTCTTGAACTTCAAATTTATTTATAAAGTCACTAACATGAAGGATCTTGCTACAGTAATGATCTTGCAGCGACGGCTCAACAGCATCCAACGAGATCTGGGACCTTTAGAAGACAAGGTAAATTTCTGTCGGAGGCTCGCCTTTTATTAGACATTGTCCTCACAATTTTTTCTTTTCGTAGGTCACAAAGTTGGAAAATGACTCTGAAGTTCTTTGCTCTGAGTACCAAGGGGTGAGTATCAAGAAAACAATATTTTCGAGTATTTCATTTCTGCCTTCCTACAATTAATGCATTCAGCTTTGTTTTTGTTTTTATTAACGATTTTTTGTTCATTTCGCCCCTTTTTTACATTTGAGTGATTCCTATCTTTTTTGGTTTCCATAGGAACCAGAAGAACCAATCATCAGGGATAAAATCAATGTCGTCAGCAGTGCGTGGGTTGATCTTAAGGACAACGTGAGTCGATATTTTTAAGGATAAACTTGTTAGAGGTGTGACGTTATGTTACAACGGAAAAGATACCACATAATACTGGTATACTAAGAAAGAAAAGCACAAGGCTGGAAAGAGTAAAGAGTTGAAATGGTTCAGGTTGGGAAAGATTGCAAGGATTGCAATTTATAATCTTAAAAAAAAACTTTAAGTTTTTCACGATGCAGAAACCATGGGGTAGCTCGTTATGCTACTAATGGAAACAGACTTGGAAACAAATTTATGTGAGCCGATTGGCATAACCTCTTGACTTACTTGCTGCATACATTGGTATTTTTCAACAGGTGAAGCAGCGAGATGATGCTTTGGCAGAATCAGGAGAATTGCAACGCTTTGTTATCGATCTTGACAATTTCCAAATATGGTAAGCATGGCGTATACTTCATGTAAACATCAAGATACTTCCCAAGACTTGAAGGAAATACACCTGAAACTTGTATTTGTCAGTTAAAGAAATCGAGGAGGATTTTATGAGCTAAAGACCCTCTCATTGTCTCTCTCTTAGGTTGAACAACACTCAGAATGAAGTTGCTTCTGAGGAAATGCCTGTATCGTTGATTGATGCAGAGAAGATGTTGAAAGAACTTGAGGACCTTAAGGTGCTGCCGCTGTATTTGCTATGGAGAGTGCTGTTAACATTAAGACGTTTTGACATCTCTCATAGTGTTTCATTTAAAAAGAAATCCAGCCGACCTGTTGACCCAAGAGGAATTATTAGCATTTAGCATTTACCCATGAATGAAGTAATCTTCCGGTCAACCGTCATTTGAGCTCGTTATGAGTTACGATAACGCCAAAGGAAGTGTGTTGCGTGACTTTAAAGAGAGATTCAAAGATGCAAAGCAAAACCAAAACAATCTAGATACTCTTTTGATACTCAATTGAAAGCTGCTCTAACTATGAAACGTGCCGTGGAGTAATGTTTACTTCCTTGTCCTTCTAGGACGAGATTGACAGCCGAGAACCTGACTTCAAGCAGTTGATGTTGAGTGGTCCAAAGTGGATCCAGGACGAGTCAGACCTCCAACAGCAATCGCTGAAAGAACAACTTGACAACTTGGAGACTGGATGGAGTGATGTACATATCCTGTGGGATAACAGGAAGAAAATGCTCATTCAGGCCTTGAACCATCAGGTACTAGAAGAACTCATAGCCGGGAGGACGCGAATGCACGCACGCACGCGCAGAATGACAATTAAGTAAACGCACGAACACATAGACTAACAATTGGATGAACCCACGCGCGTGCGTGCGCTTGCATGAAAGAACAAACGAACGAACTCGAAGACTTCTCAGGAAAGACACCATACTAATCGAATCGCACTTGTGTTGTCAAAGGTTTTTTGCTCCTCTCTTTGTTACAGGTACAAATAAGAAATTTGACATTTTTCGTCGACGTTTTTACTCATCCATATTCCTGTCTGTCTTTCTTGTTAGCTTTTTATCCGAGACTCCAAACAGTGTGAAGCCATTCTCGGCCAGCAAGAGTTGTTCCTGTCCAAGGAGGAAAGCGGAGTAAGTGTAGAAAGGAAGATTTTAGCCGTTAAACAAATCCTCGTACGAAACAATCCTCTGTTTAGCTGGAACATTTATCTGAACATGTGTTTTTGTGAAAAGTGTCAAGAAGGTCAAAAGCTAACTGGGGAAGGACATTTATTTAATTGAATCAATCCTCCTACAAAGAGAGCCTGAGGCCCACTGATAGTGTAAAACCATGGTTTGGGTTAGACCTCGTATTAATAACTAACCCTTTGTGTTTTTATAAATTACACAAATAAAAACCAATAAAACAATAAAATCCTTAGTTCTAAAGTCGAGCTATTAACTGGTGTAACCAGTGAGGAGTAGAAACGTTTCCGTGCTGTCGTGTAGGAGGTGTATCGGCTTTTTTGACTGTTGAACAATGTTGGTTGGGTCGTCGGAATGATTTTTGTTTGATTGGTTTTAATGATATGTGTGCACTCGGTTTTACAGGCTACTGTAGAGGCCGTAAAAGAGCTGATTAAGAAGCACGAAGAATTTGATAAACGAATGCAAACCAATGATGACAAGATCAACCAAATGATCCAGTTTGCTGATCGTCTCAATGATGAAAATCACTATGCATCTGACAAGATCACAGAAAAAGCACGCAGCATCGATGAAAGGCGAGAACAACTCTTTTTTATTATTATTATTTATTATTTTTATTTTTTATAATATGCTTTTCCTCCGTCCCCGCGTCCTCTCCCTACTTCCTTCCTCCCCTTCACTCCTCGTCCCTGGCTGACTTGCTTCCTCTTCTCTTACTCTCCTGCTGTCTCACCTTTTCCCTCTCTCCATTTTTGCCTGCCTTCCCCTGTTCTTCCATCCTCCTTCCTCTTAACCTTCACGGTCTTCATCCTTTTACTCCTCGTCCGTCCTAACATCGAGGTTTCCGTTGTCGCAGGAGGAACGCAAATCACGAAAAGATGGCGGCAGCATTGAAGAGGTTGAGAGATGCTTTGGAGCTTCAACAATTCATCCAAGACGCCGAAGATGTAAGTCTTTGTTATGAACTACACACGACACGATACAGAAATGAAGGTTGATAAATTTCAAGGATAATTGGCTGGCTAGGAAGCCTTTTTATATTGACAAATAGTCGAGGCGAAGGTAATGGGAATAGTAGAAGCTAAGCTTTTTAATGAGGTAACAGTTAAAAAAGCTTTCAATGTGAGTTTTTTTTTTCTTTCAACTCCACAGATGTACGACTGGCTGAACGAGCGACTGTTGATCGCTTCGGAAGAGACCTACAGAGACCTGAGTAACATCCAGGGTAAAGTCATGAAACACAGGACCTTTGAAGCTGAAATCCAGGCCAACAAGGAACGCCTTGACAATATCTGTGAGGTGAGTCAGAAAGTATCCCCGAAAGCTAGTTTCTTGTCAGTATTCAACTTAGTGGTGATGCAGCTTCTGTGAATGGCCATGCAGTGTGTGTAACGATACCGAGAAAAATTTTTTTTCCAAAGTAATAAACAAAGAAGGGACGAGAATGGAGGAGGTCTGGGAATATGTTCACAGACTGTTTGGGCTAAATCGTGATACATTTCTTATTTTTCCCATGACAGTCTGGAAACAACATCGCGGAAGAGAAACCACAGAACAGACCAGAAATTGAAGAGCGCTTGGAAAAACTAAACGTCAAATGGCAAGAACTGTCAGATGCGTCCAAACAGAAGGGAACCAAGTTAGGTGATGCACAGAAACAGGAAGAATTCAACACTGGAGTTCAAAACATCCAACAGTGGTTCACAGAGATCGAACAAACTGTTGTCACCCACGAGAAGGCGACTGACCTGACCACAGCCACAAGGCTCTACCAAAAACACAAGGTTTGTGAAATGGAAACTTTCATGATCTGTTATCGGTAAATGTTAACTTCAATTCGTGGAAGGCGTCAAACTATTAATTCGCTACTGCTGAAAAACACGAAAAAGGTAGTAATACGTACTGATGGAACAATATTGGTAAGTTATGAGAAGATATTAATAGAGTGCCAAAGGCAGGACGCTTCACTTCAAACTCTGAACACTTGGAGTAAGACTTAGCGCTGAGTATTTCAATTAACATGCGGGTCGAGGAGTTACTTCCTTGTTTGGGTGTAAAGGAACCTTCGGGATAAGAGATAAGAATGTCTACTCAGCTCTTAGACGTTTTTTTTATTTAAAAATTTCTAAATGCAACAAGAATGTTGATTTTTCTGGTTTTCTTAGATGATGGAAAAAGAAATCTTGGCCAGGCGACAGCGTATGCAAGAACTAAACTGCCAAGCTCAAGATCTTGTTGATGCTGGACACTTTGATCCTAATGCAGTGGAGGAAACTCGCATTGTTATGGAAGAGAGGTTTGTGGGAAGTTTTTTTTTTAAGATGATGTTGTCGTCCTAAATTTGTTTTTTTGAGATAAATGGTTTGTTTGTTTGTTTGTCTCTGTCCGCTTGGTACGCGAGGAATCCTTTTGGCTCTGAAAGAAGTCGCTTTATACGGAAAGACTATTTAGTTTTATCTGTAGTTGCAATAACAGTACTATTTGTCAATGTTTTAACTCCCAGTAGTAAATGACTTGTAACCTATCCCTATGACAACCACACATTATCCAGTAAACAGGTAATGAGAATACTGAAGCTTATCAGGTAAAAGTTGTTATCTCGATCTAACACCAAATTCTTGTAACTCATTTACAAAGAAATGTGTTGCAGCTGGAGGTGAGAATTAACAATCAGATCTTGGGAGTTGAAGGGTTAGCAATAGAAATGTCATCATGGTCAAATGCATAAATATGTCGGATCAATATCAGTATCTGGGCAACTGCCCACCTACCCCTCCCATAACCCAACATTAACCCTAACTTGTCATCAATTGACTGTTGTGGAGTTAGGGGAGGGGTAGGTGGGCAGTTACCCAGATACTGATATTGATCCAATATGTCATAAGGGTGGACAAAGTGACGTATTTTGCTGAATCGTTCGCTACTGCTTTTTTTTTTGCGCAGGGTCGACGCTATGGCTGCTCCGTTGTCCGAAAAGGGTGTAGAACTAGAGCGTACCCTTGGCTACTTCCAGTTCAACAGAGATGTGGATGATGAAGAGGTAAAGAGATTTCACACCTCTCTTGAATGATGTTTAGCTCAAGGAAGCATTGTAGAATGATTAAGGAATTGTCCTAGTCAGATCTTCTGAGCCTCATAATTTATAGCTTCACAACTCTAGAATCACTGCACAAGGATTTTGATTACGTTCATAAACACTTTTTCGTCTGGTGGTGTTTTTTCGATAAAGTTATAGTTTCATGAACGAAGTCATCGACCAGTATTTTCATGTCTGATTAATTTTTGATATCAACATTTGAATATTACTCGTTTCTTTTTAGGCGTGGATCAAGGAAAAGGAGCCTCTACTTCAGTCTACCAACTACGGCAATAACCTGTTTGAAGTGCAGACATTGCAGAAGAAACTACAGGTATTACAGTCTTTAATGTATGATAGGGGGAATGGGCAATCAGAAACCAGATAGTTAACAAGAGATATCAGTTTTAAGAGAAATTTAGCGACTTCTCTTAGATTTAAGGGCGGTTAAAATTTCATTAGAAACGGAAGATTTGGAGAAATAACCAGTTTGAATTAAATAAATTGATTTGGATATCTTTTGCGTCCATTCTTAGCGGCAGAGATTACCTCTGCTTCATTTTTGACGGTTCCCATCAGTCAATTGTGTAATAGGATCGTCCGGGTGAATTTGTTCTTGAAAATAACTGAAAAAATTAACTGACTTTTCAACAACTTGAGGAGTCATCTGAAAAATCTTTTTTGTCAGTCAGGTGTTCTTTTGGTCTGGTTCACATAAACTGATCGGCTGTTTTTCCAACATTTGTAACTTGAACTGACTTGCTAAGCTCGTCATGGAGTTCTGTGCCTTGTGTAAAGCATCGGGGCGCGTTGTCCGTAGTCTTGTCTTTCGATTGCCTGCAGATGCTTCAGATAATTTCTTTTTCCTACCTTCGTGACAAAGCGGACAACGTCTTTCTAAAGGGACTGACCAGGGTTTTATCTTGTTTAACAGACCTTGTGTGCCGAGATTGCCATTCACGAAGCTCACAAAGACGCCATTTGCAAACGAGGACAAGAACTCGTGGACAGCGAACACCCAGAGGCTGAGCAAGTGGCTGCTAGGACCCAGGACCTGCAAGAGAAATACGACAATCTAAAGAAATTGTCGGATGCGTACAAAGGTCAGCTGGACCTGTCACTACAGGCTAAACAGGTTTGTCTGGTTTCTGGCTCGATCTATGTGAAGATCTAAAGATGTCGGTCAAACACTTAAAAAATAAGACTTTGTTTGTGTGATATCTCTGAGTTAACCCATTTGTCAAAATATTGTTTCCGTTGCATCGAAAAGTTATGTCTCTTAATTTCTGTTTGGATATATGTAATCTTAGATCCTCCAAGCACTTTTTTAAATGTCTCTAAAAAACTTTAAGCTTCCGACGGTCATTCTGTGGTCTTCGACGGATAATGATAATACGTCCAATGTTTTTATCCGTCCACGATAGTAGACATTGTCGAAGTCGTATAGTTTTTAAAAAAACTTTTTTTTTTACACGAGAACGCTTTTATATTCGTTGTTTCTTATGAATCGTTGCAACGGATTTTCCATGACTAAGAAATGTACCGCCGCACGAAGGAAAAATGAACGAAATCTGTTGTTTTCTCTTACAGTATTACTACGATGCAGCAGAAGCTGAATCGTGGATGAGTGAACAAGAATTGAACATGATGGGTGACGAGCGTGGAAAAGACGAAGCAAGCGCCAATGCCATGCTCAAGAAACATGAGACTTTGGAGGCAGCCATTGCTGATTATTCCGAGACAGTCAATGAATTAGGTGACACAGCTAATGCTCTTGTGGAGAGCGAGCATCCCGAGAGGTAATGAAAACACGTTACTTTTTGTCGAATTTACGATCTTTTTGTTCGTTGTGACTAAAAGTAATCATAGGCTGTAACGGTGAGAGAATGAACAACCTAAGACATGAATAAAGGGGGCAAGTTTCTAAAGAAACTGTGGTACTGCGTCGGTGGGAGAGTATAGCAGGTAATTTAGTGTCAACAACTGAGTTGAAAACGTAAATTGGCCACCTTAAAGAGTAAAAAAGCTGACGTTTCGAGCTTTAGCCCTAAATTAGCAATAAATTCGCTGATATTCTAAATACATTTAGTGTTAACTCTAAATTACCTGTAACCTAACGCATAGTTGGGTATGTTAAGTTGACTCTCTCGTATCTATTGAGTTACCAAAAAGGGAGTGCTATTCAAGTCCAGTTCCAAAGATTTAGTAAGCGGTAGAATACACAAATTAGTGGACCAATAAGTCAACTTGTGAATAAAGTGATGAACCAAAGAATTTTTCCAGTTTGTCATTAGAAGATCAGCGAAAGAACGAACACAAAATGGCACGAAAAAGTGGAAGGAGGGATGATTCACAAAAACATCATTTCAAATGATCAAAAATGCTCACCGTAGTTTCATTGGAGGAATTGTAGTACGTTACTGTTTTGTTTATGATTGCCGTTCGTAATGTCCACTAAATTGCCTCTTTGATAATGTTCATCATAGTGAGGCAGTCAAGAAACGTCAAGGTCAGATCGAAAAATTGTACGAAGGATTGAAGGACCTAGCAGAGGAACGCCGAGGGAAACTGGACGAGACTCTTAAACTTTATCAGCTGCAGGGAGAAATTGATGATCTGGAACACTGGATCGCTCAGAAGGAAGTGGTAGCTGGATCGCAGGACATTGGACAAGACCTTGCCCAAGTAGAGGTACAATTCGTTGTTTCATTCCTTCACATGTTCTGTTTGTTTCCATATTTTTATAGGAAGTTTGCGTTTTATGACACAATAGTAAGGGTTTCTTTTAGTTAAAGGCCTATCGAAGAAACCCGTGCTTAGAATTTTGGAACTTTCAAACTCATAAATATGTGGAATTATTATCGGTTTGAGACAGTAAATACATAATCAGCTCCATGCCATTTGGAATCTCATCTATTTTGAACAAAGTCTTTGGAATATAATCTTCAGTAGTTTTTTTTTTAGATACAACGCCTCAAATGTTATCTTCTGTTTTTGCTTGTGTCACTTAATTTTTCAGATATCTTTTTGTCCTTATTCATAGAATCAGCTCCAAGCTCATAGCTTTATTTTGTAGCTTTTGTCGTGAAAATTCTCGTTGGTAATTCTCTTTGTTCATTTGTTATCTCTCAACAGTTGCTAATCGAGAAATTCCGCGAGTTCGCGCGTGATACTACGAACACTGGCACTGAGCGCGTGGCTGCCACGAATGCTGTCTGTGATCAGCTGATTGGAACAGGTCACACTGACGCTGCTACGATAGCGGAATGGAAAGATCAGATCAACGAGTCATGGGCCGATCTTTTAGAACTCATTGAAACGAGGACAAAGGTCAGTAAATATTGTCTGTTGGAGTGCTTCTCGAGTAAATTTCACAGGGAGCCCATGAGAGCCTGAAAAGAAACCACGTTAGACCGTGGTGCGGGAAACCTCTAGTGACTAATAAGTTGGGATTAGGCTTTTGCGTTTGCTCTTTTAAGAAGTTTTTCTTATTCTTTACCGAAGCAGAACCAATGAAATCCAGTATTACTTTTAAACCGCAGATGGAAATTTCTCAACTGTAGTTTTTGAAGCAACAACTGTTGCGTTGCTTATCTAACAATATTGCTTCGGTTGCTAAATTTTCTCAGATGTTAGAAGCTGCCCGTGAACTGCACAAATTCTTCTACGAGGCCAAAGAAGTATTAGCCATGATCCAAGAGAAAGAAAACCTTCTCACAGACGACCTTGGTCGGGATTTGAACAGCTTACATCAACTGCAAGTTGTGCACCAAGGATTCGAAGCAGATTTGGCGCCACTCGGCAATCAGGTATGCCTCTCCTGCTATCTTGCTGGAATAGCGTTTACCATTTGCATGAAAACGCCGTTTTAGGGTTTGAAAGCCAAGAGAGAGTGCCTTTAAAGACCCAGTTTTGACTAGTATGCATCAAGCGCGGCGTTGACCATCGGCGGCCATCAATTCGATGTTGATTACTCCACAAGCTTCTAGAAAACAATACAAACCTCGCTCTCGTGAAAACCATAACAAAAACAGAGGCGCGCAATGCGTAGTGGCCAGTACTGGCTCCGTTCAGACTACATTATTTACATACTCGTACCACAATTGCTGTGAAATTTCAGTGTTGCAGTTGTATTCATTTTTTCCGGCGCATAGTCAGCTCATTCCCGCTATTTCGTGAACGAATTCCAATTATTGTTTTCATTACCAGGTCGTCGCGGTCCAGGAGGAAGCCAGTCGTCTCCAGGGCTCTTATGCCGGCGACAAAGCTAGAGAAATCCAAGACAAAGAGGACGAAGTGTTAGACGCATGGAAGCGTCTCAACTGGCGTGTAAAACAACGTACCGAGCGCCTTCATGACGCTGATGACTTGTACCGATTCTTACTGGCTGTTCAAGACCAGATGCTGTGGATGAACGACATGCTGAAGCAAATTTTAACCTATGAGAAAGCGAAGTGAGTATTCCCACCCTAATATAGTCATTTCATACGAGGAAACAGTAATTCACAATACTTTCATAAGAATCGCCTATATATACAATGCAATTAAATTTATCGTTTGGAGATGGGCTAAATACCTACAAATGAAGATGGAGAAGAGAGGAAGAGAGATTGCAAAAGATGGAGAGGACTGCGAATAACTAGCTCGAAAAATGTCGCGCAACTTTCAAGACGAATAAATTATGGCATATTCCCTCAAAACAGAAAGAGTAATTGTAAATTATGCTGGAAAAACACCACAGAGAAGTCAGGTGATTAACCCTTTAACTCCCAACATCTCATTAATAATTCTCTTTACTGTCTGACATACAATTCGTATGATATCAATTTGGAGAATTTGATATTGGATCAACTAGTAATCCACTAACTGATATTTTACTCTACTCTCATCACTTCTCTGCTTGATATTGTATTGATATGGTAAGGAGAAATTCTCTCTTGGTCACTCATGGGAGTTTAAAGCTTAACTGCGAAGTATAGCAATGGAGAAGAATGACACTGTTCGAGCTCTGTTGACCTAAAACCTTCCGGGAACGAAAATAATTATGGTATGTCTTTCCTTATGTTACTTTAGGGATGTTCCTGGAGTCGAGGTCTTGATGGAACAACATCAAACCAGGAAAGTTGAAATTGATGCACGCGAAGACAGTTTCCAGAATGTTGTGAAGATGGGAAAAGACTTAATCGCCCGAAACCACTACGCTACTCCTGAGGTAAAAAATTGATGTCTTCTTTTCAGCTTTCACTCCCATCGTTTCACACATTAGGAGAAAGTCAGAAGAGAACGCAAAATGGTTAAAGCTAGTGATAAAACCCGAATAACGACGGAATACAGCGAATAGTGGCGAATGGTGACGAATAGTAAAAATAAATGAGTTAATAATAAAATAAAAATAGAACTAGTAAAGTGTCTTATATGTCGTTATACGGGTTTTATCACTAGCCTAATAGTTAAGCAGGATCATGTTTGCTACAGGTCAGGAAAAGGCAGGGAACAAGAAAATTCTTTAAGTTAGGGAGTCTAGCGAAAGTCAGGGAATTTCACCATGAGTCAGGGAAAATGAACATCTTTGATAGAGGCTTTGGAAAAGTAAAATTTCATGCAAATATAAAGTGATTCTTCTTGTCTTGGCCCTCTTCATGGTGAAACATGGTTACGCTTTCCTTTTTGTGATATCGATGTTAGTCATGTACATTGTTTGGTACAGTCGACAGATTCCTTACCAGCATAATATACATAACATAATACATACACATAATACATAGCATAATTGTAATTGAGGCTTTCTTTGTGTGGCGCGTTACCAAAATAAAGTTACATATCTGTTTGAAATAACAAACATGAAAAAAAAATTTTAATTTCTCCACTATTCAGATTAATGAGAAGCTGGACATGTTGAACCGACACAAAGATGAATTGTCACTCGAGTGGGACAAGAGATGGGAACATCTTCAACTAGGTAACGGCGCCTTCCACTTCCATCTTTTCTCCTTTTTCCCATTTACTCTTTTGTGTCACTTTACATAGCTTTCATTAATGTAGCTTATGACCTCTTTCACGTTCAAAAAATGATAGAAGACAAACATACAAACAAACAAGCAGAGAAACAATAAAGTTATTTCCGTAAAGCCATGGCCCTAACAGGTTATTCATTTATGGTTGACAGTCCACGAAGTCATGCAGTTTGCACGTGATGCTCACATGGCGGAAGGATGGATGATCGCTCAGGAACCATACCTGAAAAACGAGAACCTTGGGGTAGGTATTCTCTCTCCGACCGTAAGTTTACGGAAATAACCGAGTTAGTTACGAAAGTTATTTTACATTTCCGAACACTTTTTGTAACTCATGGTTTTCCTTTATATTTGTTTTTAGAGCGATCTCAACGAAGTCGAACAGCTGCTGGAGAAACACAGCAACTTCGAGAAACTCGTCAATACTCAAGAAGAAAGATTCCAGGCTCTTGAGCGCCTAACGACGGTAGGTTTTTAGACTATGATACGCTTACAGCATCATCTCATATCTTAATTGCGCTTCAAGGAGACTTCCTGTGTGTTTTCTATGACCAGGGATTTCAATACCTTTTCCCACAAGCGGCTTGGAGTACAAAATTCTTATTTCTTTAACAGGGAAGAAGTTTTTTTCCGGTAGTTTCTTGGAACGTAACAACTAAATGCAATATGTTCTATTATCTTTTATCAGTACGAGCTCCGTGAAGGAAAGCGTCGCAAAATGGAACAAGAACGTCGTGAACGAGAAGAACGAGAAAGAAAAGAGAGAGAAGAAAAAGAACGGCAGGAACAACTGGAGAGAATCCGCAGACAGGAGGAAGAGGAGCTCCGACGACGAGAAGAGGAAGAAGCACGCAGAAGAAGCGAACAAAGGGAAGCTGAACAGAGAGCAAGGGAGGAGGCTGTCGTTGTCGCAGAAGCTGAAGGGGTAAGTTAGAAGAATTGGCGATGGAATGCTGTTCCCTACGGTGGAATTAGCGAAGAGCGATACATAATCACTGCATGCTGTGGAGTTCAGGAAAAGTAGCAACGGTTTGGGTTTTTCAATTCGCCTACTGACTTAGCTGCCTCAACTAATAACGTTATGAGAAACATATGTACCTTTAAAAATTATGTATAAAATTTATCCTTATCTTGATCTGTCAAGGTCGAAGGCGCACCAGATGAAAAAGAAACAGACGAGAGTGTTACAGACGGTAAAATGGAAGGCTATCTGTATCGTAAGCCAACAATGGATGCTCCCAACAGAAAGGCACCAATCAGGTAAGCATATCCGAAGAGTTTCCGATAATTCCCGATAGTTTCTGGCGGTAAACGATGTGAAATTGATTGAAGCATTCTCTAGTATGGTTTGACTGCACGAGGTGTAGGATCCAGTTTCCCACTGCTTTGCTCAAAGAATGAATAAAAAGAACAACAACGTTATAAAACCTCAATTCGGCAAAATTCTTGTCAAATTTAATTATTTTCTCTTTGAAAACTAATTTAAAAAATTCATCAATCGTTAATTTTTTTTTCTGTTCTGTTTTTTTCCGCTAGGCAATGGAAGCAATTCTATGTTGTTTTGCAAGACATGTCTCTTCATTTCTACAAAGATCAGAAAACGGCACGCGTGGTAAGAACTTACATTAGATCGATTATGGGAAATATATAAGATTTTGCGCTCGGGCGTCGAATCAGTAAATAGTTATCTTCGTTTTGTCAGAAAATAAATCCTGCTGTAACCAGTTCTCTCAACTTTTTGTGGTACTTGTAAACATCAGAAGATAACTCACTTAAGAAACCATATGTCTTTTTTCACTTATCTTTTAATTTAGATATTGCAATCAATTTATGTATTAACTTTTATGTCTGTGTAAGCGGGTAGGTAACCCAAAGTGAATCTTGTGTTCTCATTGGCTGCTCGATCGAGGACCATAGTGTCAATTTAGGAACATTCGCTTTGATCCCGCATAGACAAACCTGTTTTGTTCAGTCTTTCGTCAATAAAACGTGTCTTTTATTGTATCTGTTTGTATCCTCAATAGATTACTAGTGGTTGATCTCAATTTTTTTTTTTTTTGGCGTTTTTATGTTCGTTGACATCTTTGTCCCAATCGTCTCAATGGACAGAGACGTGCAGACAATTTGACCTTTCCTTTAGTAAATAATGTATACATATTGACCTGTTCATGCAATAACACTTCGAATTTGCTTTACTTGTCAGGATCACGAGGCAGCCCATTCTCTGACTACAGAGGAAGGTTTTGTGGAAAAAGCCGTTGATTACACCAAGAGAAAGAACGTGTTCAGATTCAGGTACCTTTTTCTGCATCTTCTATCAGTCGCACTCAGAGGAAAAAAGTAAAATGCTTTTTTTTGTTTTCAACAGCGGTGCCTCTTAAAAGGAAGCACACGTTGTTTCATTCGCAAATGTGTCGCTATTTTAGACGTTGATTGTTACCCCATGTTTGACTCGCTTCTTCCTTTTATTTCACAGATCCAGTGCTGGTCAAGAATTCCTTTTCCAAGCTAAAGATGAGGTGAGCAATGAAAGAAATGTAGTCTTTTCAAAATCGGTGAAAAGTAAAGTAACTTATCAAGTAATCGCAACTTTGTTAGCTCAAGTTTAAAGCGGTTTCGTCTGATATTTGGCACACGCACCAATTGTGAACTGCTTGGTAGTTTTCTCTATTATATATATATATATATATATATATAGATATATATATATTTTTTTTTTTTTTCGTTTGATCACCATCAAACTTTGTCAGAAGGAGTGACATTTTCCATTGTCTTCTATTTTCGTCCGAGCCTCGAAAATTTTTGCCTAACCTTTACAACCCAAACATCAGTACGCGTATTCTCCAAACTGTTTCGTCTACATTTCTTATGGTTCTGACAAGGAGAGTAACTTAGGCAATCGAGAGCTAGTTAAAGAGGTGTCCTTAAGCTTTATTCCCATGACATTTCCTTATCATTCAGGGGTGATACAATGGGTAGAAATTAGACGCTAGTCACCCTTTATGCTGATTGTTTTAGCTCTCTTTCTGCTCTTTAACCGTTGACATAAATTTTCTCTCCTTACCCTGCCCGTCTCAGGAGGACATGAAACTGTGGATTAAACACATTCAGGAGAATATCAGCGGAGAGGCTGCCGGGAAAGATGCATCACCTGGCAAGAAAACTGACAAGGGCAAAGGTGGAAGCGGCATTTTTGGCAAACGAAGAAGTAAAAACTTAGATAAGGAGAAAGAGGAGAAGAAATAAAAGAAGATGAAACGAAAAGTTATGAATATCTGTGAAACAGTTAATCGCTTTGTTTAGGAATTTCATTTTGTAATGGAGCGTTTTCAGACCAATTATTCTTTGGCTTTCTTGAAGGAATGTTGT